GACAGAGTTTCACCATGATGGTCAGGATGGTCTCGATCTCTTGACCTTGTGAGCTGCCCGCCTCGGCCTCCGAAAGTGCTAGGATTACAGGTATAAGACACCACGCCCGGCCTATTATACACTCTGTTATATGCTTGTTGAACTCTTTCTCCAACTGGATTTTAAGCTCCTTAAGGACAGTGACTAGGAGACAAAGTAGGAGTTCAAGACATACTTGATTGATTTCCTGATTTTTGGATACTTTGAGTGGGAAATAATAGAATTTTTAAATATCTAAAAGAAAACAATCTTCATGAAAAGTCCTTCATGTTTCTAAAATTTGCTTTGTTCAAAAGGACAAATCTCTTTTCAATGCTTCCCTTAAAGCAGCACTATATTAGTAATTTTCTCAACCTCTGGCCGCAGTTTGGTGAAGAAAAGTGAGGCAGCTAAGACTACAGAGATGACTGTATTTAAATATCTGGTGGGCGAGGACTCTGGATGTTTGACCATTTTCTATAGTCATGGAGCTCACCAAAGTTTACCATTTGTATAGGAATCTTTTAGCTGTTGGATGGAAAAATCTCTTTCCTGTGAAACTCCATGGAATTTCTGCTTCTGGCTCAGGCAACAGTTATTCATTGCAGACCATGAAAACTTGTGACACAGGTATCCAAATGGGCACCAAATAAGTGAGAAAAGAAAAGTCTCAACTACATATTTTAAAAGTATTTTTGATTCCAGGTGATGAACTAGGCAGGCTGTGACTGGCATTGACAATATCCCTTTACTCAGACCCAGGGGATCACTTTTGATTGAAAAACCTTGTCCTCCAAACCAGCTTCCCAAGAAACAAACGCAAGTCCAAGACCTTACTTCATATTCTGGATATCCACACGTTCCACCTGCATCTCTATTTTGCCCAGTGATAGTTTCAGCCTTTAATTTGAGCTGCTGTGTAGGACCTGGCTGGGGACTGGAGTTTTATGTTTGAATACAAGGCCCCTTTTCTGGATGAATTCGGCCATCTCTTCTTCCCCCTTTCAATCACCTGGGCTTTGGTCGAGTGATAAACATGTACCCCTGGATACATGTTGTCTCAGAGGAGCCCCTTGGTTATAACGAGACTGAATTAAACAGCCAGTTCTCTAGGAAGAATCTCAAATTAGTTAAAAATTTTTTCATTAAGCTTCCACTATAAAACAGCTAACAATGACTGAGCACTGACTATCTGCTAGGTCTTCTGCCAAATACTTTACAAATATTATTTCATTTAGTGTTCACAATACTGATAGATGTAAATTTTTATTATCTTAGTTTTATTGATTGGGAAACTGAAGCACAAAAGGGCTAAACAATTTTTTTTTTTTTTTTTTTTTTCCCGGAGATGGAGTCTCACTCTCTCACTCAGGTTGGAGTGCAGTGGTGTGATCTCAGCTCACTGCAACCTCCACCTCTCAGGTTCAGGCTGATTCTCCTGCCTCAGCCTCCAGAGTAGCTAGGACTACTGGCATGTACCACCACGCTCGGCTAATTTTTGTATTTTTAGTAGAGGCAGTTTTGTCATGTTGGCCAGGCTGGTCTTGAACTGGCTCTCAAGTGATCCGCCCACCTCTATCTCCCAAAGTGTTGGATTGCAGGCATGAGCCATGGCACCTGGCTAGGGGCTAACCAACTTATCAAGGTCATGTAACCGGTACACAGCAAAACGGATTCCCTGATTTTTTCCCCCTCCTCCCTAAATCATCTTCTCCCTCTGTCTTCCTCCTGTCTGGCAGCTAATGGCAACTCCATCCTTTCAGTTTCTTAGGCCAAAACCCTTGGGACATTCTTGATTCGTCTCTCTCTCTCTAAACCCTACATTCAATGCTTTGGAAAATTCATTAGCTCTGCTTTCAAAATATATCCAACTCTGACCACTTCTCTCTACCTCTTTGCCTTCTCCTGATTCAACCTATCATCACCTTCTGCCTGAAGTGTTGCCATAACCCTCCTAACAAATCACACTGCTTCTATCTTTGTCTCTTTGTCTACCCATAGCCGAGTAATCTTCCAAAAAGAAGTCAGACCATATTGCCCCTCTGCTCAAAAGCCAAAGTCCTTCCACAACCCTACACATCCCATCCCCAGGCACCTCACTGCCTGCTGCTATCCTGAGAGGGAATGAGGACAGCAGCAGGCACGGAGGTGCCTGGGGATGGCAACTCCCTACCTGCTCTTCTGTGAACACCAAGGATCACTGGCCACAGGGTCTTAGCATGAGGGCTCTTGGTTTGGGATATCCCACCCTTCTCCATGCTCCCATAGCCTCATGGTTAACTTTCTCACTATCCAGGTCGCTACCCAAATACCAGCTTTTCAATGTATCCATTACTGTATTTACAACTGGAACCTACTCGCCTAGGTAGTAGGAAATCCTCTCACTCTCCTCTTAATTATCCTATAGCATCTATTACCTTTTACCATAGCATGTAGTTTATTTACTATACTTATTACTCATTGTCTGCCCTTCCCCCATCACACAGGTATTTTTATCTGTTGTGTTCTCTCGTATATCCCGGGCACACAGAGTTGTACCTAGCACATAAATATGTCAATAAATATCAATAAATATGTGTTGAATACATGACTGAAAGAACACATATCAATAAATATGTGTTGAATACATGACTGAAAGAACTTGGATCACAAATCTTAGAGTGGTTATAATTTTGTTGTAAACTAATACAGCATTCTCACATGAAAATGGAATAATGCAGAATATATTATGAGGTGGTCTTGATCAAGGGTCAAGTGAAGAGCAGATTTAGTGGCATGTGCTCAGATGAGGGAGATGTAAGATGTAACCGGAGGTGGTGTGGGTTGGGACGGTGCAGTGGGACTCAATGGGAAATTCTTTTATTTTTGCAATGCATTGGCAAGGACACCTTTTCTTCTTAATTAGAGGCCCATGATTTAAAGTTGTAGCCCTGTATTTGCCATACCACAAGTTTAGTCCTGAGATGTCTCCTCTTCCCACTTTCCCTGCTCTGTGGTCTCAAAGGCAGTGGCTATTTCTCAGTGGTATGGTCAGACATAATGAGAAATACAGATCCAACTGTTGGATCACTCAAAAGCTGGGAGGAATCTGGAATGGAGTTATTTGATTTAGAGTATTTTAATCATTTCCTGCAGGTTGGCAGGTCCCAGAAGGGTCAATTTTCAACAGAATCAGACAGGATACACTTGAAGAAATTTCAATGCTTCTGCATACAGTTTTTAAAATTTGGTGGTGTCCTACTCAGGCCTACAGACTGAGGGTTGACCAGATGTCTGAGACATGGACATTTCTCAGTGGTAACACTTCTCTGACACAATCCTAGTTTCTTGCTTTGGTCAAGTAAACTTTCCTATCATCTGTACCATTTACAATGGGCTACCTTGCTTTCAAGAAAATTGGTTTGCTCCTCACACAAGATGAAAATTGGCATTGGGGGCATTAGGAGGGAGACTGTTGTGTATCATGAGGACTGGCTTCCTGTTCTTTTATGATAACCCATTTCTATATTATCTACATTCAGTGCATGCCTGTTCTTTCTTGTCTAGCTGTGATGGTATTAAGGACACAACTCTAATTACTGAGGGGTTCTATCAACACAGCTTCCAAAGGCCAGTGAGGAAGTGACTATAGTATAATAACTACTTAAGCTGACCATCAGGCCAAACATTAGTTTCTAGAATGAGCTAATGAAGAAATGTATTCAGTTAAAGAAACTGAATACGCTGACAAAGGTTATTTTGGAAATGCTCATTTAGGGGCTGATGTCTTTTTTTATTTTTATTTTTTTGAGACAGGGTCTCACTGTCACCCAGGCTGGAGTGCAGTGGTGCAATCTCAGCTCACTGCAACCTCCGCCTCTCGGGCTCAAGCCATCCTCCCACCTCAGCCTCCTGAGTAGCTAGGACTACAGGCATGCGCCATCATGTCCAGTTAATTTTTGTATTTTTTGTAGAGGTGGGGTTTCACCATGTTGCCCAGGCTGGTCTTGAACTCCTGGGTTCAAGTGATCCACGCACCTCGCACTCCCAAAGTGCTGGGATTACAGGCATGTGCCACTGTACCTGGCCAAGGCTGAGGTTTTGACATGAGCTAACTAAGCCCCGACTGCCCCCTGACAGCTTGAGCTCTGAGACACTGACAGTGGGCAGGACCAAATCCAGAGACTCATGGGTTCTCAGTCACAGCTGCACATGACAACTTCCTGAGGGGGCGGTGGAACCACCAAAGCTGGGGCTCATGCCAGAGGCTTAGGTTCAGTCAGTCTGGCATGAGGTCAGGGCACCAATCTTATTAAAAAGCTCTCCAGGTGATTTTACATATAGCCAGGAATGAAAACTACCTGATGCGAAAGCTCCAGAGAAGGGCTATCTGAGGAGCTGGGAGAGAGAATGCAGTGCCTACTCTTGCCTCACAATCCCTATTGTAAGGGCTCCTTCCCCACTCTCTCTCCTGCTTCATCAGTTTTCCATTTTCTCCTTGGTTATTTCCACAACAATAAACAAGTTGCAAATTCTCCCATCCTAAATAAAATGACCTCCCCAAACTCCACATTTTCCTTCAGCTCATACCCATTTTCCTGCATCCCTTTAGAGATGAACTGCCTAAGACGTTCTTTTGTATATGCTGTCCAATTCCCTTCCATCCATTCTCTCCTAAACCCACTCTATCTGGGCCTCCACCCTCACTACTGCACAGACATAGCCCATCTTACCATCTGCTTAGGCCAGTGACTTTAGATCTCCCCTTCAACAGAAATGGGGAAGCTGGAGAACTTAACACAGACATGCCTGACACACTCTGGGGTACAGCACACCCCAATCCAGCCTGGGGCTGGTCGAGCAGTGCTGGGATCAAAGCTCAGCAAGCAGAACGAAGAACCAAAAAACTTTCCAGAGTACCTTTGGAGAAGACTGCTGCTTAAGAAACGTTGATGGTGACAACGATAATGAGATCTCTAGGAAAGGGAAAGGTTATGACTTACACAGTGTGTGGTGGTGATGATGACAGAACTGGAGATAAAAGAGAGGCCATCGTTCATGCTGACCTGGAGTGCAGCTTTCCTGCAATGACAACAAGGGAAGCAGATTCTCAGCATGGTGTGCAATGAGCAATAGGCTGAGAGCCAGACACACAGGTCTCTTTTGGGCTCAGCTCTTAACTACACTTGAGACTGGAGTCTCTTCTCCAGGGGAGGAGGGGTCTCAGTTTTCTCTTTTGTAAAATGTGGAGGGTAGTCTGTATAGCCCATCCTCCCCTAAAGTTTAGAGAAATGTCAGGATATGCGTGGCCAGTGTATTAAGGCAGTGCATTCAGATGTTCCGGCATTTCAGTGAGTGGCATTGAATGGGCAAAGCTTACTTTCATTTAACTTGCTTGTCACATTGTAGTTCAACAAAGTATTCTTTAAAAATAGTCCAAGTCAATGGGGGATAAACTGGGCTAACTATAAATGCGATATTCTACTGCTGTTACCTGGACTCTCAGTGATTTGATGGGGCTGGCTTTGTTACCATCCAACAGACTCACAGAGGTAAAGCAGAAGATGAATTTGCCTTCTATCTCTTCCCACTCTAAGACACTCACCGGAAACTGACCTTATGTTTTGTTGCATTTTGCAGCATGGACACTGAGCTAATTTGTGAAATCAGGGGCATCACAGATTGATGCTGGGCAACCAGAGTTGGAGGTTTTACAATATGAACACATGATTAAAGGCAAAATTCAGATGAACAAGTTCAACATTTTTCCCTTAAAGCCTCCATTCTTTGTCTAGCCTGTTACAGACACAGTCTTGGAGAGGTTATTTTTGTTGTTGTTGTTCTCTGCACCAGCATTGCCTCGTTTTCCACGTATTTCTTTTCTTGCTCAGGGTGCCCATTCTCTTTCTTCTGTTGATGGTTTTGATCTCATCTCATTGGTGCTTATCATAATTGCATTACCATGAGATTTTCCCCCATAAATTAGTTCAGGGAACTTTTTCTGGTCTGGGTGAACATCTGATGCCGTGCAGAGTAGAGGAAGGAGCACTGTGTGGGAAATCGGAAGGTGTGAATCTGAGGTCTTGGCTTGCCATGAACCAGCCATGGCCCAACTTGGCCTTTCTGAGCCTCCCTTTCTCTAAGGAGGAGATAACAATCATCTAGCAGGGCAATGGTGACGACAGAGCGAGGTCAAATGTGTGAGAACTTTCTAGAAGTGTAGGTGTGATTAAGCCAGACAGACCTTGGATTGAGCCCGGACTCTTCCACTCACTGCTTATGACCTTAGGCAAGCTATTTAAAGTCTGGCAGCCACAGTCTCTACATCTGTGAAATTGGGATAGTGGGAATACCTGGTTAATGGGGAACCTGGGGGAATGAAATGATGTACTTTGTAAAACACTTATGCTGGTGTCTGGGTCACTGTAAACACTGGCTCCATCATAAGCTGGAGGAACCTAGAGACAGGCTGCACTTTCTCTAGATGCTTTCTTTTCCCCTGTCCCCCCACACCTCCTCTCTCTCTTCCCTGGCTGGAAGGTTCTGTTGCTGGTGAAAACTTACATGCCAACTTCTTTTAAGATAGGCGCTGGACACAGTAAATAAGTATCTTCCACAGAAAAGGGCTTCTCATCTGCAAAAAGGAAATCACTGTATTAAGAGGAGGGAGGTGAGTTTACAATTTCAAATTCAGTGACTTCTAGAGAACATCAACCAAGTCCAGGGAGATACCAGAAAAACAAAAATCATTTTGAGCTTAAAAACTCTTGAGCTGCAAAACCCATTAGCAGTGAACTCAAGTGCTCCTGCCTGAATCATAGCTTCCTGTGGTACGTGCAGTCGAGTCAACTGGTGAGAAAATAGTGGGTGAACTCCTAGATAGAGCAGGAGTCACTGAGGGGAAACAAGAAAATATCAGACTGGTCCTAAGGAGTTCCATATCTAAGTCTAGTTTGAGAGAGAAGCCATATTTGTGGAAAAAGTTTGCTGACAAATGACTTCACCAAAGTATCATTGGGCTTCATAAGACAGGGAGCTTCCTTTACACGGCTGTCATAGTCAGGTCATAGGAAAGCACAAAACATGAGGTATGCTTTTGTGCAGAGAGGGGGAAGAGACATTGAGCAAAGACAGGGCATACTAAAGGCATGTTCCAAGGTAGGATACAAGAAGGATTTGAAAAGATCAGTACAGAAAGTTTGGTCAAGTTCTTTGAGTTAGCCTGAGGGATTTGGACAAAGTTCTGTAAGTTATAGAAAGAACTTTGGTGGGTTTTTGAGTAAAACTGAAGTGATGGTTTCGGAGGTTGTAGCAGATGTAGCTGTGGAAGGTGGATCAGAGTGGGGGACTCTTGGGGGTAGGGACGTTCTTGTACTTATTCTAATGGATGACCAGGAAAAAGCTTAAAGTGGCTTTAATTCAACCTCCCTAAGAACTTCATTGTATCCCAGTTTCTGGGGCCAGAGGCAGGGTTGAGAAGTTATTACACTAAGTATATAATAGTCATTCCTTCAAGCCTCAGCTTTTATTGGGTACGTGTGCTGTACAAAAAGGTTGTGGTAGGGCATAGAGATGAAATGAAGATGAATAAGATCTGTGTCATTAATCAGGCTGTGACTACAAGTTCCTGTAACTAGAAGACACAAAGGAATACGTATATTATTAAAGGATAATATTCTGCTTTTGTGGTGACACTGATTCTCTTATGATATCTCCAAGTCATGACTGCAGAATACAGCTGACATTAAACTCTTACCTGAGTGAAGGTTAGGAAGCTGCCTGGGATGGGAGTTAGAGGACACATCTGAGTGCTAAGCACAACGTCCCCATTGGCAAGAGGGGGAAGAAGATGTACAGGAAAATCTTCAAGTGGTGAAAAGTTAGGGAGGTTATTCCAGGTCATTTGGTTATTCGTTCATGCAACAAATACTTATTGAAGACTTGCTCTATACTAGAGATGTAGGCTGATGTAGGCTTTGAGAGGAGAAACACAGTCTCTGCTTTCATGGATTTTATAGGAGGCAGGAGAGACAGTTATTTAACATTACTAAGAAATAAATTCTTTGAGTGTGTACCATGTGCCAAGCAATGTGCTAAGGCTTGCAATGAACAAAACAGATAAAGTACCCTGTCCAAGGAGCCAACATGCTAGTAATTACACAAATTGTTGTGTAATTATAATTGTGATGAGCACACAAAAGGAGAAGGAGGGGGCTGGCCCTCATCTGGGAGGTCAGGAAATGCTTCCCTACCCCACCCCACGCTCCGCCCCAGGAAAGACTATTTAAGCTGAAACCTGAGGTCGGGTGAGGGGGTAGAGTGGGGAGGGGGAGGCACTGCAAAGATCCTGGGGCAAGAAGGACCCCAGATCTTTTGAGAGCTAAAAGAGGGCCAGTGAGGGCTGTTGAATCTAAATGAGACAGACAATGGCTCAAAATGAGTCTAGAAAATGCAGCAGGGCCAGATGACCACGGCCACCTAGGCCATGATGAAGCTTTTGAAATTTTTCCTAAGCGCAACAGGGAACTACTGGAGGTTACCCCCATATTTAGAATCAGCTGTTGGCAGATGATGGATTGTTGCAGGAATGGTGACGCTGTGTTGAGTAAAATTATAAAGCATACGATGACAGTGTAGGATCATGCAGTACCTGAATTGAGCATTATTATTATTATTATTTTATTATATATTTTTTTCTGAGACAGAGTCTCACTCTGTCACCCAGGCTGGAGTGCAGTGGCACAATATCAGCTCACTACAACCTCCGCCTCCCGGGTTCAAGCTATTGTCCTGCCTCAGCCTCCCAAGTAGCTGGGATTACAGGTGCCTGCCACCACGCCCGGTTAATTTCTGTACTTTTTTAGTAGAGACAGGTTTCACCATATTGGCCGGGCTGGTCTCGAGCTCCTGACCTTGTGATCCGCCTGCCTCGGCCACCCAAAGTGCCTGGATTACAGGTGTGAGCCACCGTGCCCGGCCCAAGTATTATTATTTTCAAGATGTCCTTCCATCTGTGATGATAATACAGGCAGTCCCCAACTTAACAATGGTTCCACTTAAGCAATATTGTGACTTTATGAAGGTACTTTCAGTTGTGTATATTAATGATGAGTACCCACACAACCATTCCGTTTTTCACTTTTAGTACAATATTAAATAAATTGCATGAGCTATTCAACACTTTCTTATAAAACAGGCTTTGTGTTAGATGATTTTGCCCAACCATGGGGTAATGTCAGTGTTTCGAACATGTTTAAGGTAGGCGAGGCTAAGCAATGATGTTTGGGAGGTTAGGTGTTTTAAACGCACTTTTGAGTTATGGTATTTTCAACTTATGATGGATTTATCAGGACGTAACCCCATCTTAAGTCAAGGAGCATCTACAATGACAGTCAGACTTGCCAGGTCATGTTGCATGCAGGCGGTCTCTCAGCACTTCCTGTATGTCACTCAGTCAAATTTAAACTAGCAGAGCTATCAGGACGGTGTATTATTCCTTTCATTTTAAAGGTGAGGAACAGGCATAGAGAGATTAGGTAACTTGTCCAAGGTTACCCATGGGAGCTTGGATCTGCACCCAGGCAGTCTGGCTGCAGAGTCTGCGTGATTATCTAATAGGCTATAAGTACCAGCCTTGATAGAAGCTGCGCTTTGTTTGCTTGTAATGACAGCCTCGTGAGTTAAGGCAGGGCAGGGATCATTAGGCTCATATTTCAGATGCAAAATGGAGGCTGAGAGAGATGACAGTGATCTAAGGTTGCACCGAAAGCCAGAGGCAAAGCCAAGACTGGAAATGAACTCTGCATTACACTTTCCTCACTAAGAGACTCTCCATTCCAGGGAAGGCTTCTATTAGAGAATAAACTGAACTTGGGACAGGCGTGGTTGACTCAAACCTATATTTATTTCCTCGTGGCCATGGCTTATCCTGTTGCACATGCACCAGCAGTACCTGGGAATACAGAACCCTGCCCACAGAGCCAGCCCACAGAGCCACGGGGCCGCCACAGAGCCGCCACAGGAGGCCTTGTGACTCTGGCTGCCTTCTGTGGGAAGAGTTGGAGAGCAGAGCATCACGCCGAGGAGAGCATCCGAGGCAGCGCACTGCAGCGCCACAGCCAGGGAGACTCCAGGCTGGCATGCCCTGCTCCTGGGTTAGCGCCTGGCCTCCCTTCCGGCTGCCTCTGGACAACTCCTCTCTCCTCCCTCCATCCCAACTGGAAAGGAGTGAGAGGGTTAGTGTGGCCCAGGCCAGGCAGACATTTCTCACTTTCCCCCTCCTTTCCTTTTCCTTTTCTGCTTGGGAGACCAAATATTTCTGGAGCAAAACAGAGGAAAAGCTCACTGGGAGGCCTGCGAAGGCTTTGCTGAGGCTGTGGAAGACCTTCCTCCACCCGAGTGTATCAGCCTCCCAGGCTGTGGGCCTGCTCTGTGGAGCTGGCATTTTCTCCTCTGAGAGGATTGTTTGGTTTGGAGCCTGTTTTCGTTTTACCACAAAAATGAGTGACTTTTTTTTTTCTCTCTCTCTAAACAAAGGAGGACCATTTGGTTTCTATAACTCAGGTCATCTGACTCCTTCCTGGAACTCCATTTGGGAGGCAGGGCACAAAGCCTTCCTTGCTGCACCTCGGCCGTGCCACGTTTGGCCCCAAGGCCGTGCCAGCCTCGCTGCAGCATGTGCCAAAGCCAGTGGTGTCGTGATGTATGTGGGGCCATGATCCACTCCTAGGACAGCCAAGGCCCCTGCTGGTCCACCCTCTAGGTGGCCAATTTCGCTGCTCACTAGCACCGGGTGGGCAGGGGAAATGGAGGCCAGGCGCTCGGACTGGCCCACTTGGCTTTTGTTTGCAACTGGGGAGAAAATTAGGGAGGGGTAGGAGTTTGAAATCAGACATTCAATGAAAATTTTATTTTTATGTTTAAATTTTTGTTATTTTCTTTTGAGATAGAGTCTCACTCTGTTGCCCAGGCTGCAGTGCAATGGTGCGATCATGGCTCACTGCAGCCTGAACCTTCTGTGCTCAAGTGATCCTCCCACCTTGTCCCCCTACCCCACCCCACCCTAGTCACTGCATCACAGGAGTGCAGTGCCACACCTGGCTAATTAATTTTTTTTTTATTTTGTAGAGACAAGGTCTCCTAGGTTGCCCAGGCTGCTCTGGAACTCCTGGGCTCAAACTATCTGCCCACTTCAGCCTCCCAAAATGCTGGGATTATAGGTGTGAGCCACTGGGCCTAGCCAAATGTAATTTTTAGATAATCTTGAAATATAAATTTCCTTTGTCCATTACCAAAGATATTTTAGAATTCTGTGTGTACCTATGACATAGGTTTACCCAAGGCATCTGTCTATAAGAGTTTGACAAGTTTGATCAGGATTTGGGGATTTATCAGGATTTGGAGGCCAGTGAGTGTCATTATCTCAGAGTGCCAAACACCCCAGGCTTGGGAACTAGGCATCCCTCAAGCTGCGTACCGAGGGGACAGAGAGGGGCAGAGGATATTTCAGATCACACAGAGTCAACTCTGGGCCCTTCTCTTACTAGTGTGTGACTAGGGACATACATTCTCCTTCTATAAACAGTGGTGATGACATTGTGTGGGGAGTACATAATATTGTATTCAAGTACAAAG